GGCCCCCCCCCCCCCCAGTGTTCAAAACAGGGCAGTTGGTTTCTGGTCACAGGTTCTCTGGCTGCCGTTCAGAGTTCTGCCCTTGCAGCTCAAGTTTGTCCCTGGAGATGCTTCTGTGTGTCCATGTCTGTATCTTCTGGGCTCCTGTATTGGAGACAAGCCCTCTCTCAGGAGTGTCATTTGGAGCAGGAGCTTGGATAAGCTGCTGTGAATCTGTTTTTCCTCTTGACTCTGAGGGGAGCTGGCACAGAGGAGCTGCCACAGGAGGTTTCCCACGCTGGGAAGTGTGAATACCCCAAGCTCTGACTGCTGCTGTTCTGGGAGCCACTGCTTCCCTCCAGGGACTGTGTAGGATCCCCAGCATGAAGTACTAAAACTTTTAGTAATGGGTAGGTGGGGTGTGTAACTCCAGTACCTATCTCAACTCTGCAGGGACATAGATTAAAAATTTTGAATGAAGACAATCTATCCTTTAGAATAAAACTTCTAACCTGTTGTCTTATTTTGTGGTCGAGATGGGTTGTTGATTCTGCATCAAACTGCCCTGAGGGGGCTGCTGGGGCACCAAGCACTTGTCCCTCATCTGGGACGGGATGCAGCTGCTCTGTTCAGCCAGTCCTGAGTTTGTCTTTTATTCCCTGAGGGGCTTTGCCATGTCCTGTAAGCTCAAAATCCCAATCTGGGTACTGTTTTCTCAAGCGTGGTCATTTTTAAATGAGCGGCTGGCTGCACATCAAACCCCTGCACCGCTTGTGTGGCATTTCCCTCTGGAACCCCCCTCAACGGCCTGGTTTAAGGTATTTAACTAGCAAAGAACAGCCAAACAAAAAGCCTCTCGGGGTAGGGGTGATAAGGAATTGCTGGGGAGGTGTTTACAAGAAGCTGCAATCAGCACCCTGAGGTCAGCCTGGCTGGGCAGTCTGACCTGGGGCTGACAGAAAGTGCAGAAGAACCAGATGTGAAGAGTGTGGGAGGAACTCAGACAGAAATGGTGCAGGAGCTTGTCAGGTGTGTTAAAAGCTAGAGAACAGAGGAAGGTCTCTTGTGTTTTGAAACTCACTTTGGGGTTATGGAGTTCATATTTTCAGTTCTGTGCTGGGGAGAGCTTGTCCACAGCACGTGGTTCTGTGACAGGACACTTTGTGCTGCCTTGTTTACCCTTTTCTTCTAGATTTGCAAAGTTCATCTCCCAAGCTTAAAGCTTGAGGGGTTTTTTTCTGGGTACAGGAACCACTAGCAAAGTGTTCCTGGGTCTGCAGTCTAGAAAGTGTCATTCTAGTTTGGAAGCTGCTCAGATCTGCTTCCAGACTCTGCTGCAGGATAATCAAGCAGGTTTGGAGTGTGCAAGGCTGCCTCAGAAATGGTTTAGAAGAAGCCTGCCTGTGAAATATGTTTAGTTTAGATAATAGGATGAAATTCTTCCCTGTGAGGGTGGGGAGGCCCTGGCACAGGTGGCCCAGAGAAGCTGTGGCTGCCCCATCCCTGGGAGTGTCCAAGGCCAGGTTGGACAGGGCTCTGAGCAACCTGGGAAAGTGGAAGGTGTCCCTACCCATGGCAGACAGGGTGGATGGAACTGGATCATCTTTAAGGTCCCTTCAAACCCAAAATCATTCTGTGAAGGAATATAAAGCCCATGTACTTTGATCTGTGCTGGCATTTCCTGAGAGTGGGGATCTCAGAAGCTTTAGGTTTTCCATTGATTTAATATGACCTCCATCTGACAGCCTGTCTGACACTCAGAGTAAGTGAAGATCTCTTTGCAACTTTCCCCTCCAGGACAGCGAACTCCTGACGTTCAACATCTCCCGGCACCAGTCGTGGTGGAGTGAAAATGGCCCTGGCTGTGTAAGGAAGGAGGCTTCCATGTCTGGCATCAAGGGGCTGGATAACCACTCCTACATCTCTGTCATAGGCTGTGCCCTGGAGTACAGGTACATCGAGGTCATGCACAGCTCCTTCCAGATCCTGATTGCGGTGAGTACGTCACTGAGGGGCGGCATTTGTTGAGGAGATGCTGTTTGGTTTTGTTTTTTCGTAGGGCACAGAGGTTGGCCCGTATTTTTCACCACATTTTGTATCACCTGATTGCAAAGGCCTCTGTAAATGTGTTTTGTTTGGTTTGTTCTCCCGTTCTCTCTTTGGAAAAGTATTGCTTGAAAGAACTGGAAATGGATACCAGCAGCCTGATGCCTGATGTAATGCATCCATCCACCCGCAGAATAACAAATCATTCTGTATCCTGGTGGGGGGTGGAAATTCATGTTTTGACAAGGACAGAGACCCTTCTGGAAGAAGGGTAAAGATACAAGAGTTTTGATACCATGAGAGGAAATGGCCTTAAGTTGCACCCAGAGAGGTTTAGTTTAGATTTTGGGGACAATTTCTTCACAGAAAGGGTTGTAAAGCACTGGAACAGACTGCCCAGGGAAGTGGTGGAGTCACCACCCCTGGAAGTGTACAAGGAATGTGTGGATATGGCACCTTAGGGACATACTTTAGTGATGAATGTGGTGGTGGGGCTGGGTTGATGATTGGACTTGATCTTAAAGGTCTCTTCCAACCTTAATAACTCCATGATTCTATGAAGGATTGCTCCTATTCTCCATGACTTAGTGATGGGTGGCAGAACACACACATGCACATTTGTTGTGAAGAATTAAAACAGATCCTCATCTCCAGAAAATGAAAAAAAAAAAAAAAAATTAAGGAAGCAGTAAGCAGCATATTTCCCTTTTGCTGACACCCAGGATATATGCACTAAATGTTTGCATCTACTCTTACCTCATCAGTTTTCCACAGGCTTTTTAAAGTACTCTGCAGCAATGCAATGTCCTTAATATTCAATTTTAACTATTTCTCACTTGTCTGTGAAATTAACTGAAACCAAATGTCTTTTGTCCCCCTCCCTTTGTGGGTGCTATTGCATTTTGCAGCTGCATTAGAGTCAGCAGCCCCACATCTCTAATCTGCTTTGGATTGATACTTAGGGGTTAATGGCTCTAAGTACAAACCTGGACTGGTGAAACATTCACATTTTGGCTTCCAGCTTTGGCTTATAAAAAAGAAGTGTCTCGCCCTGTTTAAATATTAAAGGTCAACAAATAGAGATATTCCAAGTTCCTGGAGTGCCAAGTACTTCTCTGCACGTTTTTGGTCCTGCTTTCCATTGTCCTGGTTCTGCATTTCCTATTAGCTGGGATGATCTGTGTGACCCAGTGACCTGCAGGGAGGGGGGAAGACTCAGGCCCCTGTCTTGCCATGTCACAGAGAAGAGGCAGATGGAGAAGCTCCTGTTTCCTGAGTTGGATGGACTCCCTGGCGTGTGCTGGCTGTTAATATTCCGTTAGTTCTCCTTCAGGGAAAATGATCTGCATGAAACTGTCTGAGCTGCTTCCACGCACGTGTGAGAGAAAGGCAGACCTGTGCACCCAGGAGAATAGAGCCTGTTGTCTTTTAGAAAGGGCTGTTGGCTGGAACAGGATTGGTGGTGCTGAGCTGGTGCTGAGCCTGAGTTTGGTGAAACAACTGACGGATTTGGAAGTCAGGACATCCCTTTTTAAAGCACAGAAGTTTGCTACTGTTCACATCCTTCCTGAACTCCTGAGCTGGCACAGCCCCTGTGCCCTGGGCTAGAGGTTGAGCCAACAAATGATGCTGAGCTTGCTTGGAAGCACATCTTTGTTTTTTGGCAGCTTACTGACTTAGGCACGTGGCCCTGGGCTAATTGATCACGCTGATTTATAGGACTCTCTCTCTGGCAGTGGTTTTTCCTTTGCTTCTTCCCAAAGGCACGTGACAATATTCTCTGTGCATCTGCAAAACACCACTAAGGGGCCAGATGGGGAGACAGGAGGGAAATATACGATAAAATAGGATTTAGGCAAATATTTTTTCTCTCTCCTTCTCCCTGAGATCTAAGGGGAAATGGGTTTTTGAATCCTAAACCCTGGAAATGAGGCTAAAATACTTGTAGGCAAGAAACCCATATGGGCTGAGCTATGCAGGGACCTAAGTTTCTACTTGTCCTGTAATAAAAGCAGAGTATTGAAGCCCCAGGCCTGTAACTGCTGCTGGCTCTGGAATGCTCATATAATTTTGTCATGTAGTAGGAGAAACAGAGCTTTTCCCCTCTGCTTTGAGGTCAGGCAGAAAGCAAATCTTCTCACTTTCTCCCTCAGACCTTGCCTGAAAGCCGTCAGCCAGTTCTCTCCCTTTTTACTCTCTGAGGGTCAAACTCTTTGATCCCTGCCAGTATCTTTTTCTCTTCTCTTTGTCTCACTTTGAGGCAGGTTTTATTACAGGCAGCTGTCCCTAGAGCTCTGGCAGGTACAGTGCTGCAGACAGGCAGGGACACCAGATCGATAGCACAAAAACACGACCAGAAACTTGAAGGCTCGGGGGATGCAGCAAGAGACATGACCTAGTTCCCTCCTTGTCTGAGACCAGAATAGCCAGTCCCCTGTTCAGAAGGGCAAGGGACAGACAAAATTGTGTTTTCTGTAGTTTGTTTTTGCTTTGCCTTACGGTTTTTAGAAGTTGTGAGGTGTGGTTGTGTGTTCGGCTTTTGCTTGTTTTTTTACCCCAGATACAGCCCTGTGAAATCCATGCTCTCTAACTATGCAGCACCCAGCTGTGGGTATTTTGCTTGCTTTCTGGAAGTCCCAGTTCCTTGAGACTACTGCACAGTGTTGTGTATTTGGGGCAAGGCTCACTGAATTCAATCTTCCACGCCAAAGGAGAGGGAGAAAGCAAACCTGGACCCATATGGTGAGCACAGTGTTGGCTGTCGTCTTGACTCCTGCTGATATATCATCCTGCTCCTGGGCATGCATTTGAGGATACATAAGGTCTCAGTCTGCTTTTGCTCAGAGCTTGTCTGTACTCCTTGAAGGCAAAAGCAATCCCTTTAATCTGGAATGCCATCAAACTCGGGCATATTAGTCACCACATGTGATGCAAGTAGCTGTAGGGCCCAATATGAAAATCTTTCTCAATGCTTTAGCATGAAGCACATTGGAGGGAAAAAGCTTCCTGTAACATCTAAAAGTCTGCACTGGTATAGAAATGAACTGTGAAACTAATCCTGCCAGCCCAGTTAGGGAATGGAACAGCAACTACTTTGTCAAGGAAAGAAATCTGCTTTGTTTTTGCCTTAGCAAAGGTTCATCTTGCCTCTCCCCAGCTTGCCAGCCAGCAGGGAGAGGAGCGATTCCCAGTTCTCAAATACCTGGCATAGCTCTGGGCTGTCCATATGGTGGTTCTGGGAGTGGCGAGGGTCAGGCTTTTCCTGAGGCTTCATTGGATTCGGTAGAAATTGGAAGTGTCTCACTGCCTGCCTGTCTGCTGTTTTCAGTCAGACTGACAGGTTGGAAGCTTCCCAGGAAGGCAGCAATGCAAGCCTTGACAGCAGATGTTATGTGAGAACCAAGGCACAAGAGATGCTTTGCTCTTGGCAGAAGGTAGATTTTCAGTGGCCGTATTGCATCCGAAGAGTAAAGAAGGTCAGGGAATCAAAGGCTTTTGATTGCTTCTCTTTGGCTACCTGGCCACAACAGCCCTTTCACAAGCTGGATTTTTTTGCTTCCTCATAGCAGAGATCTATTCATTTCCCCCTCTTGCACTGATGAGAGCGCACACACTTCATTAGCTCTGATTAGAAGTGAAACCTAGAATGCATCTGCCCTGAAGGAGGAGACTCTGCACCCACTCTCTGTGGTGAAAAAAAGCAACAGCAAGTTTGTCTACTGAGAGAAAAGGTGGAGAGTCCAGACTCTTCACCAGGGCAGAGGTAGATTAAGATCTTACACAGGCAACAGTAACACCTCCTAAAATTTGCTTTCCCCTCCTTCCTGTGTTTTGCACACTTGCAGCCAGCTGGTCCCCTTCTGTAGCTCTTGCTCCAGTTCAGCCTTTCTGGCTCCAGCACCTCAGTTCGATGCTGCTGTTTTAGGAACACTTTTCGATCACCGTGAAAAAGTTATCTTGAGAGGGCTGAGGGGCAGAGGGATGTTCAGACATGTTTTCCTCGTTCCCTTTGGGCACGCTTGTCTCTTCCTGTCTTTCCTGCTCTGTTTATTTGCCTGCAGAGTGCTGGGGACGCCCCAACTCCCTCCCCTTTCGCTGGGCAGCACGCGCGTTCCCAGGCTGTCTGACAGGCTGACAGAACACACCTGCCCACGACATGTGTTCCTTATAAAAAGCTTAATCAGATACTTCTGCAGCTTGGAGAAAGCTGGTACTGAACATGCAGAACAAGTAGAGAAACAGCAGCAGAGGGTAAAGCCCTAGAACATTCTTTGGGGAATCAGAGCAGTAGCTTAGTGTCGTTTTACATCACCGACGTTCTCCCTCCTCTTCCACCTCCCCTACGTAACTTGCAAAGATCTAAGAATTATTTTTGTTTTCCCAAGACAGTAAAGATTAAACCCCTCTTTTGCATTGAAATCAGCAACCAAGATGAGCAAGGGTGTAATTCCAAATTCTTAGCCTCTGTGAAGCTTTGTGCTGTGTTAATTGCTCATAAACCTGGGTGATGTCTGGGGCCTTGATACATCTTCATCAGGAATGCAGTAAGAAAAGAATTGCTGGTGTCTCTTGGAGTCTGCTCATCCCAAACTCAAGGAGACTCTTCCAGTGAAAAGGACAGGACAGTATGAGTGGAGTTTCTCCTCTGTAGCTATATTTCATTCATAATTCATTCTGAAGGACATAGGGATTCCTGTGAGCTCATTTAATCCCTGAGATGGTATATTTAATTACAGTTTTGGTCAGCCCCTATAAAAATGCAGTTCATGTTTTGTTGTACCTCTCTTTGCCACTGAAACTCTCCTGTTCTGGCCAGATCACAAGACTAAAAAACCCCAGATTTTTTATTAATGAAACTCATAGAAAGTAGGAATGGATTATAAAGTCAATAAAAAGTAGATTTTAACCACTAAGCAGAAATTTTGAAACAAAGGCAGGAGATGGAAGAAATAATAATAATAATAATAAAAACTCCACTCCAGTGGAGCTGGAATTATAGACTTAGGGAGGTTCACTTCATTCACTAGTTTTTGTTTGATTGGTTTGATTTTATGAATGCAAAAAGTCACCTTAGTCATAAAAGGAAAAACGTATGGGGTGAGTGGAATGATGGTTGAGGGTTATGAGGCATTCATTTCTGTGCAAAACAAACTTCCCAAGTCGCTCCTATCGTTTGGTGCTTCTGAACCGTGAAAAATGCTCAGAGGTTTCTCAGGGTTGCTGTGACAGTACAGCTGATAATCACTCACACACTCTGCCCATAAACTGGGCAGGTAAATAATTTTCATTGTTAATTCTATCAGGAGTTTCCTGACACAGGTATCACATAAGATTTGTGTCTACATGTTATAGGGTATAATGATAGTGAATGGATTTAGGGCTGGCACTTTACATGGCTATTAACCCAAAGTTCCTACTCTGAGGCATGATGGGAAATCTGGGGAGGGAGAAAACTGTCCTAGAGTTCCCTTGGAATCAGGGTAGACGTTCAAGGTGCATCTTTCCTGCTTTTTTGTGTGTATGTAAAGGATCTTCAACCTATAAAAATGCCAGAGCAAGAGCAGGGGATGTGTGACCACACTCCTAACTTGTTGCCTGGGCAAATGCAGAGTGAGCAGAAGGGTGGGTGAACATTTCAAGGAGTGCTGGGATGTGCCAAAAGGACTCTGTTTTCCCCGGAGCGTCTCTAGGTGTCAGCGAGGGCAGGTCCCCCAGCCCAGGGTCGAGCGCTCACCGCGGGTTTCACAGCGCTCCGGGGAGCGGCCTCGGGGCTTCAGCACCACGGCCAGAGCCCGGCCCGGGCTCCGGGTCCTGGAATCCTTTGGGTTGGGAAAGCCCTCCAAGATCCTCAAGTCCTCCTGTTCCCCCAGCAGTGCCAAGCCCAACCACTAAACCGTGTCCCCAAGTGCCACATCCACATGTCTTTTAAATCTCTCCAGGGATGGTGACTCCACCACTGCCCTGGGCAGGATGTGCCAGGGCTGGATATCCCTTTCAGCAAAGAAATATTCCTTAATATTCAGTCTAAACCTCCCATGGCACAACTTGTCTGCTTGTTACTTGGGAGCAGAGCCCGACCCCCACCTGGTTCCACCCTCCTGTCAGGGAGTTGCTGAAAGCAAGAAGGTCCCCCCTAAGCCTCCTTTTCCC